TAGTGTAATTTTAGTAATAATAGATCTAGTGGAGTGATTGCGACTTTGGGCGATTCATTAATAAAAGTACATATTTTTTATATCTTAGGTTTATTTTTCAGAGTGATGATGAAATAGATGGGGATATTAATTGTATAATTCAAGTTGGATGGTTGAAGTGGAGGAATGCATCGGGCTTGTTGTGTGATAGAAAAGTCAAACTTAAGGGAAAATTCTATAAGATGGTAGTGAGATCTGCAATTCTTTATGGTGCAGAATGTTAGCCATTAAAAGAGAAGCATAATATTAAGTTAAGTGTTGCAGGGATGAGGATGCTCAGGTGGATGAGTGGCTTTACTCTTAGAGATAAGATATGAAATAAGTATATACATGAAAGGTTGTCACTTCTGTGGAAGATAAGATTAGAGAGAGTCGTCTTAGATGGTTTGGTCACATAAAACGACAGCTTTTTTATGACCCAATTAGGAAAGTAGATGTATTAGATTTGACTTATGTTAAGAAAGGTAGAGGTTGACCTAAAAAGACTTGGGTAGAAAATATTAGAAATGACAATTCCTTATTAGATTTTGATGATAATTTGACTCTTAACAAGACACAAAGGAGAAAAATGATTAATGTAGCCGACCCCACATAGTGGGATAAAGACTTATTATTGTTGTTGTTGTTTAATATTTATTTTAATATTTTCAGTAGAGTAGACTTATTATTAGATTATGTTCCAATATTTTCGATTCAGTAAACTAGTTAATATAATATAAGTTTAGTTTGATTTTATTCTAAAGTTGTAGTAATGTCAGGCTATATGTATATATGTGTAGAAAATTCTTTTTTTTAAAATTTCAGAATAATTACTTAAAACATTATAAAGATAATATTTATGTAATTTGTAATTAATAACGTAATTTATATAGATGCATTTTTTACATTAAAAAAATGTGAAATTAGAGATTATATAATTTATGTATGAATAAATAATTGGATAAAATTTAGGAAGGAGCCATTGGAAATTCAAAATAAAAGGAGCATCAAACAAAAGAAAAATAGAAAAGAGCGAAGTTACCAAACGAACATTTGGCGCATTCAAAATACACCAATTAGTATGATGCATTCAACCCCACCATTCTGCTATTGTTTTATAGGTTTATGAGAATTGGCTAGATGCTAAGAATTTGCTATTTAGTTAGAAATAAAATAAATAAAAATAATATAAATTAATAAATTAAATATATGTATATATGTATTGGTATTATAGAAAATATTTAAGTTTTTTATTTGATAGGAAAAAACTCAAAATATTTTAATTGTAATAAGTTATATATATTATGTGCAAAAATAATTTAATTTAAATATTTTTATTGTTAGTATGGTAATTTAAATTTTTTATTAATTTTATTTGCATTGAAAGAAAGTGGCGATGATTGATTAAAAAACTCATTCATCTATGAATATTTTTTTTTGCAATATATTGACAGCATTTGGGGATACAGTTTTTGGCAATCTTTGCCCTCAAGTAGGAATCTAATGTAAATAAAAATAAATAAATACTGATAATAATAAATTTATAATTATGTTTTTAGTGTTATTAATAATGTGGAGTATAAGGTGGCTTAAATAAAATTGATATCTTACTTCCGGCATGTAGGTTAGAAAATATTAGGAATGAACTTTTCTTTATTAGATTTAAATGAGAATTTGACTTTTAATAGAACACAATGGAGAAAAAGGATTAATGTAGCCGACCCCACATAGTGGGATAAAGGTTTGATGTTGTTGTTGTAGTTGTACTTCCGGCATGTGCGACTAATTAATTTTTTTTAAGTACAATTAAGATTTAGACAAAATCATTTAAACATGAGAGATGACACACATGTTCTTACACATTAACAAAAACAGCTAATTTGAGATTTAGACAATTTAAACCCAATTTTAACCGTCTGCTCGTTCTTTAAGTAAGAAATGAATGTGTGTCTATAACTGACTTTATGTCGGGCAACACATGTAGTATTTAAATTTCCTTTGCAGTTCTTGCTAGCCTTCTTTAGAGAAATTTTTTTTTCTTTTATCACTTGAAGTGGTTTGCATAATTTTGTTATACTCGTGAAAAAGGATTCATGTAGTTAACCTCACATAGTGAGATAAATGCTTGATGTTGTTGTTATTATTTAACACGAAAGAATCGTACCTTTCCCGGTTGCAATATATTTTATCTTGAGCATTTTCTTTTGCATACTCTGTACAATTTTATGTTGAAAGTTCTAATGTTCATGAACAAGTTTATGATACCTCATTTGGAGAAAATGAAGCCTCACAAGATGTTTGTCTTCATAAAAAAATTTGTCCTGCATTTGTTTCTATGCAGCCCTTATAAGAAACTCTCCACCGTTATCACTATGCGTAATCATATCCTCCAAATGTAGCCTTCAAAGCAGTTCATCTCCATATATATCTCAACCGTAGGCACAACGAAACACGTTTTCTTTAGCTTTCATCTCTAGCATAAAATTCAAGCAAAGAGGCACAAATTTGCTCAAGCTTACACTGCCTGATGTGTTACTATTTTTGCTCGTTCGAGACAACGCCTCCACATTGTTACAAGCACTTACTCTTATGTTGGCAGCAACAACTCTACAAAGTTTATATAGAACCACCTAAATCATTAAGGTTAAATCAATAGATGATTGTTAGGTGTAATCTAGTTTAATGTTAAGTAAAATAGATGTTAATGAAGTCTTTTAACTGTCATTTCAAAGGTTATTTTTTGCAATGTCATTACGACTGATGTGATAGGGCGTCAGGGTGGCTGTCTGTGTTGTGAGCTTCCATGTAAAATAAATAACTAAAAGACTCATGTAAAGTAAAATAAAAAAAGTTATATTAATGAGATATTAAATATTTAGATAGGTATTAAATTTAAATTTTAATGCACTTCTTTGACTACATATTTGATTTAATGGTGTCATTAAATTTTCATATTATATTTTTTTACGACATTTTATGTTGAATATGAGTTGAAGATGTTATCATTTCTGGTTTGTTGTTATGATAGAAACAAGTATAAAGATAAAACAAATTTATGCATAAGAAACAACTAATTTTTCATTCCAAGATGTGTATGCAAACTGTATAAATGTGTTACAATGAAACAATCAGAAACTAAGTTCGTGGACGCCGTCGTATACCACTGGTATAATTTTGTTTCTTTTTTAAGCTTTAAACTTAATTTTCAGTTTAATGGTCATTTGATATATTTATGGAACGTCTTCATTTCTTTTTTCCTTGAAATTACCTTTTAAGGCCACAACATAAGATGAGTTCATAAAGAAATATAAATATCAATTATATTTTTCCCTATATAAGAAATAGAAGTTGATATAAATTTGATACAAAATATCCAAGAATGAATGGTAGAACCTATCGACGCCGTCATGGTCTATGAGGTATCACATCTATGCCGAGGGTGTAATGGTGAGGAGAAAAATATGTTGAGAAATAGTTATCAAGGGTATACCTAAATATAAAGAAGTTCATCTAGTTCATCCCTGTATAATGATAGCATTCCCCACTGGCATCTCTTTGACCCATTCCTCATTCAACCTGTACAAACATGTAATCGAGTTACTATTCGAGTCACAAATGTTATCGTAAGGTGCAGATGTTGTAATCTACGAATACTTGACTCCTATGCTAGCCCCATCTAGCATTTCTAAGAAAGGAATATACAGTGTGATTCGCCCGACGTGGATTTTCCCAAAGACTAAATTTGTAGTAAATGCGCGCAACCTGCAATCTTGACCCTTTTGGGCCTTGTAGCCTCAAACAATTCCCAGTGAAGTTGTGTCAGAACTGCTCCTCCAATTGAGTGCGTACTGAACTAACCTGTCTTCTAACAGCATAATGTACTAAAGTTGAATCTCATATTTTAAAGTATTTGTTAGGAGGATGAAGCAAATCATAAACAACAAATAAGCCCTAACGTGTCGCAAAAAAATCAAGCTTATTTTGGTCAATATAAGAATCTTGTCCGAAGGTCCATGGAAGCCAGCTAAGTGGCATGCATGTCCCTTCCTAAATGTTCAACACTCGGGTCGAATGGATCATGATATATATACCTTTGGCTCAGCATGAGTTCCAAACAAGCCATCGCAACAATTCGGCTAGCTCGACCATCATTTGCCCACTCCAACTATTGTGGGTCCAACTAAGATAGGCCCATCAATCTATAAATCCATAAAGACTGAGACATCATGTAATGTAATTGTCATCTTGCCCATTGCATAATGAAATGTGTTATTATTCGTGATATTATGTATATATTATGGCTTTAGGTAGTAAATTGGACCTTTCTATCTGGTTGATTTTGAGTTTGACATCAGCTTTGTTAGAAACTATAGGTTGGTACTACATGGAGATGTTAGCATTTACTTTGTTTGATCTTATTAACCAATTAGTTAGTATGATAAAAAAAGGTAGAATCGTCAAAAAACATTAAATGCCAAAAGTTTCTCATTTTTTCATTTCAGAACAAAAAATGAAAAGTCGAAGAGCTGAAGGGACTTTAATGGAGGAGAGAGAAATATTAGACTCAGAGAAGGGATTAACAGTGCCTTGTTTTAGATAGCGTCCTAACTAAATTTATTTAGGGATTTCTTACCTAGAAATTGTGCACTAAATAATTGTCCTTAGGGCATCTCCAATGGAACGGAAAACAACTGTTTGCTGTTCAATTTTGCCACATAAAAATTACCGCATTTTGGAGTTTTGCTGTATTTTGCAATGGAAAATAGGGTTTTCGGTTGGAGATGCCCTTACCTGATTGGACAAAACCTGAACCTTTTTTTTTTTCCTCTCAATCGGGCTGGGGTAAAAAATGTCTGACTCATAAATACAGCAAAATTTTCCGCTCATTAATGTTTCATTAATGATTATTTTTATCTTATATTGTTTATCTTGTCACTGTTTGCTATTTAAAAAAACACTGTTGATTTCTTCTGCTTGTGCAGGGTCCAGTTTATCAGCAACCTTTAAGCCTTGACCATATGCAGAACAGCTAGAGTTCAAGAAAAAAAAAAAAGATCTGATAGATTTTATGCCTTTATTGTCTTATATCTGTAGGCCAAAAAAATGTAGCAACTCAAGGACAGCCATGCAAATGACAACCTATTCTTATTTTTCCGTCGGATTCTAACTGTTTGTGCGCTCCTTTAAAAAAAAAAAATTATTTATGTGACCTGTATGATGACTTATTAGGTATTTATTTCATGCATTAATTTTTTTTCCAAGTCTTTTTTCTCTAATGAGTGAACAAGAGAAGTATTTCGAGAATCATGTGTTGCAAAAATTATTATGTATGAACAAAATTTTGAAAATACCGAGTACTGTATCGAGCACGATACCGAGCATCCAAGTGATGTGGCATTTTGTTATTGGTCTCTGGATGCGTTTGATGTCCGGACATATTAATTACTCCATGTGTTGGGGTGTGCCCATCGAGCATGCAAAGCACTTTATGCTCATGTTAGCTTAATAGTATAGTGCCCATCGAGCATGCAAAGCACTTTAGTATGTCTTATTCTTTCATCTCCACCAATTAGATTTTGAGCAGATTCAATGAATCTTATTTGAAATTGATCTGAGTTGAATTGAGCTCATCTATTGGCTGCTCGATTTTGATTAAGTTTAATTTGCGACTGCTTTTTATTTCTTTTAAAAGTAATTTTTTAGCATAAAAATTAAAATTTTTATGTTAAGAAGTTATTTTAAGAAGCAATAAAAAAATTGTCCCAAGTGAAGCCTTAGCTCCACAACTTGATAATAGAATCATTTTATAAATCCTGCTAAATAAATTTTTTATTTCCGTCACTGGTACTAATACATTTCAAACTTAGATTCCAGTAAAACATAGGGTAGGGCGAAATGGTATCATATTTTTTAATATTAAATATTTATATATTTTTAAAATAAAAAAAAAATTATGGGGATATGGGGACAGCAAATCTTCAAAAATAAAATTCTTAGAACATGGCAATTTTATCTTTATTTAAGAAAATCTTAAACTGTTTCTCAAACATATATCCATGGGTTATTCATGTAGAAATCATGTATAATAAGAATAATTGGATCAACAAAGATTTATGTGAATATAATAGGGTCAAAAGGGAAAACATGAGGGGCAATTAATTTAAGAAAATATAAAAATAGTTCGGTCAAGATTTTATGGGTTGATTATTCTTAAGTTATCAAGCTAGAAGTCATTTGGTTAAAAAGAAGTTGACCTAGCCTAGTTGAGACATGCTCTATTAACAATCATGAATTACATCATATAAGAAAGGAAAGCTTAGATGAGTTCTAAAAAGGTAGATTTAGAAATATGTGGGATTTATAAATTCTAACAATATAGGAACTTATTTATAAAAAGAAATAAACAAAGTAGTCTTGTCATACACAATTAGAGATATTCAAGATAAATAGAGAGATTCAATCAAACTTATAATCATGTTCGGGTTTGAAGTATCACTATCTAGCATATTAAGAAGACCCTTAGTTATATTAAAATTTATGGCTATTAAAAAAACTCCATCTTAAGGGCCATTGTTAGCAATGAAAATTTATTTGTCCCTAAGTAATTAAGACACTTCTAATGTGTGTATTTGATCGGTTATATTATGAATATGTATTTGTACTTGCAGGTTTTGATTGCTGGCTAGTTTGACTTTTATCTAATCTAAGAGACACGGAGAGAATAAATGTTTCTTTTAAAAAGACTATCTTGCCTTAATTTTTAAAGAAGTTGGCTCGACCCCTATTTTCTCATATCCTTGATCATTGTACGTTTCGCAGATATGTTGGGGGTCCAAGGGGGTAGCGCCCACTGGCGGGGTTCGACCACCCCGGTTAGGTTGCGGGGTCAAGGGGCAACTCCCTTGCGGGAGTTTCCGGGGGCGCTCCCTAGAAGAAATTTTGGTTGCAAGGATATTTTTAAATTTTCTTTACTATTGCTCTTTGTATTTGGTTCATCCGTTTGATTATGTTGTGCAATTGCCTAAAGACCATAGTGTTTTAAAACTTTTAGGGGGGGGGGGCAATTCAAATCTGAATGAGCTTAGATCAAATATTTGAAAGTTAGGCTTCATTTGTGATGGCTTTCTTCCTACTTCTTGAAGCAGCTTTTTAATACAAAAATTTTAATTTTTGTTCTAGAAAGCTGCTTTAACAAGCAGGAAGAAAGCCGCCCAAACAAAGCCTTGGGTTTTGATTGGTGCGACTTTTTTATATGTTCTTAAATTATCTTTTTAGTTCAAAAATTAAATTTTTATACTAAAAAGTAAAAAGCTATTTTAAGAAGTATTAAGAAAGCCTTCCCAAATGAAGACATAATTGAAAATCAAATTAAAGCATAAGGTTGAATTTTTAAAAGATTTATAATTAAATAAATAATATAAATATTCTAAAATTATAGAAAACACATTTTAAATCTCTACTATTATAAGTTTGTGCCTTGGAAATCATAAATATTTTCTTAAAGCAATTATAGTCCAAATCTAACATGACATCTTATTCATCTTTGGCTAACATTTTTGTTCTTTGACTCATTAAAAATTTGGGCTCATTCGCATCTGAGTAAATAATGAACTGGGCCTTCACCCTTTGATTCCAATACACATCAACAATGCCCAGACCAAAATTGAGCCTTCTACTTGATCTATTGACAATCGCTAAGACATATTTCTTCTTTCAGAATAGTAACATGGCTAATTTCTCCCCACAAGAGCCTTCTATGCTCTTTTGTTTTTAAAGGTTCTGCTGTTGGGAAGTTATAGTCCACATCTATTACTTGAAAAGTTGTACCAATGTTGTCTTTTCTTCCTCTTTTTCAAGCAGCTTTATTTCTGCTCCGAGAAACTGTATGAGTTGGATTACTCCTATATCCAAATTAGTCTAGACCGAATTGAATCAATCTCACTTGTTCAAATGCACTCAAAGTCTCAAACCAAGTTAAGCCCACTAAAAAGGATCAATGCATGAAAGTCATTGCAGGCACAGTAAACTCATCAATGAAGTGAAAACATGACAAGCCCGGAAAAATTACCCAAGTAGATCATATGAATTCACCCACCGCTGCTTGTCCGGGTGGTGAATAGCCAGCTAGGCAAAGCCTAGGTCCCTGATTCGAATTCCTTGGCAAGCAGTGAAAGCTTTAAGTATTAACCCTTGTAAATTGGTGTGGATTGCATGCTAGGTCGACCGAGATTTTCACTGGCCTAAGGATAGTATTTCCTCTTCACAAAAAAAAAAAAAAAAAAAAATGCAAAAAAAAAAAAAAAAAAAAAAAAAAATCTAAGGTTTCATAAAGTCCAATATTGTCCAATACACTTTTATTTGTTTGTTTGTTCTATTTGTTTTAAATTTTTTTTAGAATTAGTTATTCTTTTTTTTTTTTTGAGTTTTAGTGCTCAAATTAAGATTTTTTTATGATACAAATTAGGGTTTGAGATTTGGCCCAACAAATAATTTTTATTTTTTGTGAAAATCAAATAAAGATCATTGCTGACGTAAAGATGATTAACTAAAAATTTCAACTTATTTGAATTTGTTAATGAATTTTATGATTTTTTTTTATTTTTAAAATTAGATTATTATTCAAAATTAAAGAAACCCTAATTCATAATCTTGGAATGCCTTGGGATGATTTTTCATAGATTTTAAATTTAATTAAGATTATGTTACAATCAATTTTTTTTTATATAATTTTTTTTTAATTATTAGTGCACTATGGAAGTTCCCTAGGTCCATGGGTGCCTTAACTTAACCAAGAATTAGAGTTTGATTTTTTCCTAGGAAATTGACATCAAACCTTCATGAATTTAAATCCAATGGTTAGGAAAATTCTTGAAATCAACCCTTGAAAGTTTCAAGTTATTTGGATTTAAAATATAGTTTTTTACAATTTCTTAGATTCCTAAATTATGTACCCATAATGATTTATTAAAGGCATGGGCAAGGGTTCCTAGGGTTTAATAACATTTTCCACTGATCTATAAAATGGGAAGAGCATTAAATTTATATTCCATTACTTTTAGTCTTTTATATGATTTAATATGATTTGTTAAAATTTAAGGCTATTGAAAGACCCTATACTTTGAAAAATCCTTTAGGGTTTATGCTTATTTAAACTTACATTGAGAAATATAGGGATGTGTATACTAGATGAGAAAACTCCTCATGCTAGTTAATTGAAAGTGATTAAGTGCAACAATCACTTATTTAACCCTTTAAATTCATGAAATAAATGACTAATTAAAACCTTTGATGATATTTTAATTAATTTTCCATTCTTTTCTAAATCCATAAAGGAAAAAAATCATTAAATTTGTATAAAAAATGAATTTACTATGATTTTTAAAAGTTCTCACTATTTTTTGGCATTAATTAATTTAATTTAATTAATCATCACCGACATGACATTGCACATTACATGCATCAATGCTTGATTCAATTTCTAGTAAAATGATGGGTATTGTGTGCCATGCGAGTATGCTCATAACCGTTCGATATTGAATAAGACGGTTCAAATTAATCATGTGATAACATAAGATGGAGGATAATATTTGATATGACTTAATCATGACAATTTATCCTATTTAAATTTAATGAATGGTGATTAAGTCATCTTTTATCCGTGGCTATTAATAAAGATCATAGTATGTTTTTCCTCTAATTTATGCAGATCTTTGGAGTATTTCTTGATTTGACAAATTGAGAAGGACTAGTAGATCATATACTTGCAATACAATGGATGGATTAGTTAGAATTGCAAGTTCATATTACAATTTGCGAAACCTGATTTCATCAAATTAAGGAATTAGGCATACCTCAATTCAGTAGGCATTTTGATCAATTGAATGTTTTTGGGGCTTTGTTGGATCACCACAAACACATCTTTTGAAAAGAGTATAGCTTGACATCAACTACATCACCAAATGCACCTATGAATGAGAAGGATTCACCAAAGCTAGAGGTTTTTCACATAGAGAGGATTCTAACAGCTAGGAGGGATAGAATCACTTGATCATTAACTAGGGAAGGAGAGGGAATCCCATTTACATGCTAATTTCAATTTGAAGAGGGTTATTTATAAAATTTAAGAAATCCATTTAGATGAAATTGTAGCCATCCGATATGGTTTCAGATGCAAAGGTATTAAGGATCATATGATAAGAGCTACATAAGTGTCTTGAAATGTTCCCAAGGGTTGAGATAAGTTGGATTAGATGTTGTAAGA